CTGGACTTATTGCCTGGTCCGTAATTTGCTAGGCATTTTAAAACAGAACATATGCTTCTGCATAGCTTCATCTAGTCTCTTCTTGAAGGCGTTCATCATCGGGGCGTCAACGATGCTATCAGGGAGGCTGTTCCACATGTCGGTGACTCGAAGCGAGAAGAAATGTTGTCGCATGGATGTGTTACAATCAGTGGTGGGCACAGTTCCGCTAACCGCTAATTAGCGAAGCTAACTTTGAAAACCTTTAGCGGACCAATTAGCTTCCGCTAAATTTAGTTCCGCTAACTGGCAGTCCGCTAAAAATGTTTTAAAATCTCTGATTTGATGCTAAGTATCGTAAGCCGTGTGCCACGCCCACACTGACGGCTGACTACGTCATCAAATGTTCGTCAGCCAATCACGTCTTGTCTTACTGGCAGTAACACAAGACGTCCTGTACTGCAGTCATCTGGTGGACGCAATGTTGGCAGGCATCACGAAAAGGTTGGGGTCCCTCCTAGAAGACAAGGAGTGCCAGTTGGCAGCGGCCTTCCACCCTAAGTTTCGCCGTTCTGGCTAGAAAAGCATAATCACAGCCATCTCAGCAGGGTACAGAAGGCCATGGAGACAGCCCTGAGGGAGACCGTTGAGGAGGGCAGCAGCACCACCAGCAATGACGAGGATGGGAAAGATGACTTCTTCAGCAGCATTACTCAGCCCATGGAGTGCAGGAGGAGCCACACTCAATGCTTATCGAAAAGGTACTAGCCTATTATAGTTTTGTCTCATTCAGAGAGCTTTAAACAATTTGATGCTTTCAGAGAGCTTTAAACAATTTCCTTAAATTATGACGTATTTGACTGGAAAATTTAAATTATGAAGGAAAATTTGTTAAGTTTTTCCCACGAGTATTTTATTGACAAGATGTGTTCTCGTCGGCAGGCGACATTCATCGTGACTACGCATTTGTGTGTTCAAGATCAAGATTTTGGCTGCGGTTGAAATTTTCAACTTTGGGCATGTCGACACGAGCATGTTATTTAAGCTGCTCCTGTTCATATGCTTAAAGTTTTAATTTCTATAAATCAACGCGTCAACTGGATTAAGAGTAGTCGGAACTCGAAAGCTCACCATTGCCAAGGATGCCAGCCTACCTAACCGACTAACAACACTAGACACTAATGGGCAGTGGGCGGGCCAGCTGAACAAGATGGAACAGGTTGCAGAGCGTATACCGATTATTCGCAAGAAAGTTAGTTGCTTTTCTTCCGTTCTATCTACTCTATTTCGTTGTATCATCAGGCTTCATTATGGAGTTACATTCAAGTATAAGGATGAATTTGGTTATTTCTGAAGAACTACAAATTATACGAAGATAGATTCAGACAATTTCCATCGAGCAATATTGAATTGGTATTAGACGTTAGAATTTAGAAATGCTTCTATTCTTCATTTTTCAGCAGTTGCAAGCAGTATTTTCAGACCCCGGTAAAATTTTTTGCTAGACGAATGGTTTCTTCAACCAAAGAACTGTTCAGCTTTGGGCATATGTCTGCATGCTTGAGCTTATTGCTCAAGCAGAAGATAGCTTATGAACTATTTACTTTACAATTGGAGCCTCTCTGTGAGCAACATATTTGATTTGAGGATTTCCATAACTATCGTTTATTCCGCTATTTATTTGATTGTCTCTCCAGGAATTTAGAGTGCAGTTGATATCTTAGATGCTTGTAAAGAACTACATGTGAAAGTCAATGCCAACTGTCATTGCAGCAACCGACGATGGATGCAGAAAGATCCTCACTTGCTATGAACTGTGAACAACTGAAAGCTGCAATCAAGTTAGTGCCGTATCTAGATTTTGTTAATCTAAGATTAACATGTGCTACTCCGTTTTATTGTGTGATCTTTCGTCAATAAACGCAGAAATTCGAGGCCCTTGCAGTACTGTTTGCTCTATAGAAATTTAATGTGACGAAAGATACATGAAATGAAACGGCAAATAATTCAACGATTATTTTAAAAACAACGTTGTTCATTCAGTAGGATACATGGATTTGATAGGAGAAATTGGCTTGACTTGCATTACCTCGAATCAGGGATACCTTTTGATGTATTGATTGAATTTTTTTATTTGCGATTATTGCCCTCATTTCTAACCACGCCATGTCATAAAAGTTACTAGCTGTAAACGTCTTTGCATGAAATTGAGCCTCTGGTAGACTGCTTTAATCTTAAAACTGAGCGAGTAGTGCAATATAGACTGCATATATATATAACGTTCAGAGATTGAAATGCCCCCTCTCTTCCCCCCATAAGGGGGGGAAGGGAGGGGGAATTTTTTAAGCATTTTTCATATTCGGCCGTGTCTGTCCCGAACGTATCAGGTACCAAATACGCGCGCCCCACGATCGCCCCAAGCTCGACGAGTAATTTCACAAGATTCCATTTCGGCGCTTATTGCGCTACGCCAACCGGAACCTAATGCGGACATAGAGCTTCTAATTTACCCGGCCATAAGAACTTGGGGCGTCCGTGTGCCAGCGGCTGACAGGTCTTCGAATTTCGATAGGGTTGGCATGCTACTTCTTTTTGGAAAGCTCCTTTTCAAGGCTTAAAGTTCAGCTCTATAGGACTTTTTTTCAGAGTCCCCCCTCCAAATTAAGCCAAATCTAAATTTAAATATAAAAATTAGCGGTTAGCGGCAAATTCCGCTACATTTTTCGGTGATTTATCGGTTTAGCGTTATCGAAGCTAACTTTTCAGTTAGCGGATTAGCGGTTATCGAAGCTAACTTTTAGATTAGCTGTGCCCACCACTGGTTACAATGCCGTTTATTTTAGTTTATAGGCGTGGCCCCTGGTGTTGGTTCTTGTTTCAAATTCTAGTAATCCTTCCGAGACGTTGTATAAGCCATGAGTATACTTGTATGCTTCAATGAGTTCCTCACGCAAATAGGTAACACAATTTCTCAATTGCTGAATGTTTGAATAGCGGCTTGATGACACTATCGAAATGAAACACCTTCTGTGTAGAGTTTAGATCTACGCTTGATTTGATTTCGAATATTCAATGAATGTGTTATTCAATCTTGGGTGCCACGAGATGAAATAGTGATAATTAATTAATTGTTCATTAAATTTAAATCACAACACTACACATTTCATGATTACTACAGACTCGTTTACAGGGATTAAAATTTCAATAAACTTATCTATGTCATGTATAAGAACTTGGAAACATAGGTATTCACAGATTTACTAAATTAACAAATGTAAAAAATATCAAACGTCAAAGAGAATTGATATTATTTAATAGCATTTATGCACTCTGCCGTAATACTTAGCACGTGCAGATTTTGAATGTTCAGCGCTCATTTCTCCTCAAAAATATCTTACAAATGGCAAAAAAAATATGAATTAATCAACTTGCAGTGCAAATCAGTACTAAACACTCTTCGGTAACACTAAACACTCTCATACACATACAGTGCTTAACTCCTTCGTTACGGACACATTTATCGTCGTCAATGCTATTCGTACCTAATGTTTGGGACCAAGCAGTCCCGTCAGTCACTAAAGGGAAAACTAATAACCGTCACGTCTTTGTCATTCTTTATTTTATAATTCATAAGTTACTTGGATTACTTAATTTAAATAAAACAATTAAAGTATATGTAAATCAGCGTAACATTTACTATTCCCCTGACGTCAAATTTTAAGTTCATATGTTCCATTTCTTTTAATTTGATGATCTATATACACGATAAACAGCACAAACAATATTCAATTATTTATAGATCTCCAGAAAAATTCCACAAAATGAAGATAATTCATATTACTTTACATATTATTGCATATTTATTACTTACTGAACTGTCAGCTGTACCTTAAATCATCTTATTATCTCTACTCATCATCAGATGAATTGTTGACATAATTGTGAATAGTGATTACGTTACACTGAAAGAAATGAATGAGACGTCGTCCGAATAGCGATGCACTCTTTGCCCCTTTATGGGTCACTCTGACCCAGTTTGGCCCGGTATAATAAGGGCGTATCATTGCTACGTCGCTCTATGCTCGTACTGTAAGGGAGTGTGTCGCAATTTGGACAATATTCGCGATTCATTTTTCTCCGAGCGTAGCACCTCTTTGATTCTAGTTCACTAGTGTTGCGAGAGACAACTATTTGAAATAATGAAGTTGAAATATCGATTTAGAAATATTGATGTCGAAATATGGACGCTGAAATAATGTAGTTGAAATATCGAAGTTGAAATAACGAAGTTAAAATATCGAAGTTGAAATAACGAAGTTAAAATAACGAAGTTGAAATAACAAAGTTGAACTAACGAAGTTTAAATAACGAAGTTGAAATAACGAAGTTGAAATAACGAAGTTGAAATATCGACGTTGAAATAACGACGTTGAAATAACAACATTCAAATATCGACGAAACGGTGCGCGGGGTCCCAGGCCTCGCGTACGTGGGGGTCCCAGACCCCGCGCACGTGGGGGTCCCAGACCCCGCACACGTGGGGGTCCCAGACCCCGCGCACGTGGGGGTACCAGACCCCGCAGGGTCCCAGACCCCGCGCACGTGGGGGTCCCAGACCCCGCGCCCGTAAGGGACAATAAAATAAAGAGATAAAGGCAGCGATTGCATTGCTCAGTACACTCTACCTACTATTACACTCAGGCAACGAAGTGGCAAAAAACTTACTACGTGCACTGCTGTTGGTACAAGTTTGGGTAAATGTGATACTTTAAGTTCCTTCTGAAGCTCATAAATCCTTCAATGATCTTAAATTCATCATAAGAAATTGCAGTCAAATTCATGACGCGGCCATCAAAGGAAAATTCCACCGCTAATTCTGCTGTCAGTTTTCCAATTAAGTTAAAGAATTAGAACAAATTAAACAGCACCTAGTGAAGCAGGTACAAAATGTGCAGCTTTCAATGAAAAAAACACAATAATAAACACATTACATTAGCATTTTATTCTTTACAATATTGCTACCACATTTTATAGCATTTTTTATTGCTAGGCAATGTAACGATTTATTATACATTCTTTTAAATGTATCCTGGACATATCTAATTGATAAATATTTCTGGAGACTAAGATAGTAATTCTTACTAATAATTGTAGTTAAATCCTATTACAATAGTAATAGTTTGATGAGACAGATTGTGCAAAATTTGAAGTAATAAGTTAATTAATTTTGTGACTATTGAGCTTTCATATTTTTGAAGAGAGTTGCTACAAGTGCTGCAGATCTTACCATAGAATACATAAAACAAAAGAAGGTGGCATCATAAAATAAATTGTAGAAGTTGGACCAATGAAGAACAGGCCATTTGCATGGACAATACCACACACACAAAGAAATAATGGGGTCTAGGTAAGTGGGAATGTCCTCATATTGACTTGCTTAGCTCACACCTTCTATGTCATCACAGATGCCAAGAAACTAAGATATTCAGAAGGCAATCAATGCGACTTTATGGTGGTTGTTGTAAATGTAAAAGTTCATAAAAACTAAGATGTTCAGAATATTTTTTAATAAATCCATGCAATTTTATAGTGGTTGTTGCAAAATGTAAAAGTTATATAGAAACAGACAACATTGCTCAAGGAAGAAAAGCACAGAGCTAATGAGCAGTCAAATTGTCATTCGAGTTTCCTGCTCAAGTATGTTAGAGTTCACCAATCCACTGCATGAATATTAAATGATAAATTAAGTGCTGCCTTCAAGCACTTGCTATTAATGTACAAGGGTTAAGGGTATTGGGAAATCTTTTTCAGGAAATTAATAAATGCAGTAAATCGACCTTAAAGAGAATTTAGTGCATTCCACAACAACTCTTTCAAATTGTGGCTGATGCCATTTCTGTCATCAATGGAGACTACAAAAGCAAGCTCAAATCAACACAAAATCTCTCATAGCCTCTGTTGCAGAGATTTTAATTCAAATATTATGCCCAAAATTTACATTTGGTAAGCAATATCACAAACCTCACCTACATACAAGCAGGCGAATTTTATGCTTAATCCACCATTGCAGTTATAGCGGCAGATCACATCATTGGCACCAACAAGTTTATCACTTGAAAGGCCCTTCTACCAACACTCATTTACACACTAAAACATAAAATATTATATTACCAACTGTAGTATATGTAAAATTGATGCACAATATTTTCCCATATTATCCCATTTGAAGTATGAAAATAATAATTTAATGAAAAAATAATAATTTGAAGACAGACATGAATACTTAGCATCAAGACCTCCTTGATTTCCTGACGTGGCTGGTGTATGGATTGGGAAATTTGTGCAAATTTGACTGTGGCATTGTAACTAAACTCAATACGGAATCCTTTCACTAAGTAATTGTCATAAATCTGAATGCATTTGATATATTTTTCAACTGAACATATACAAACAAACTGAATTTTACTAAAACCCCTCAGTAAAGTTTAGATTGGATCGTTAGCAGACATTGTAGCACAACTTTTACTAAGTGATCTTTCCTAAGCCAAAACATGTTTAGATTTCTGGTGCTTTGTTAGAGACCATTTCTTACCAGCAACATAATCACAGAACTGACATCTGAAGCCTTTCCCTAAACCATGTTTAGAAAACATGTGCACATCAAGAACATATTTTCTAAAGTTGCTATAATCACACAACTTGCATTTGAATCCTTTCCCTAGACCATGTTTAGAAAACATATGCATATCTAAAGAATATTTTTGATGAGTAGAATAATCACATAAGTCGCATTTTAACCCCTCCCCCAAACCATGCTTTGAAATAAGGTGCATACTGAGGAGAGATTTGCTAATAGTAACATAATCACACAACTTACAATTGTTTCCCATACCCAAACCATGTTTAGAAAAAAGATGATGTTTGAGATGGTCTTTTTTAGCCATAACGTAGTCACATAGGTCACATTTCACACCGCTCCCTATACCATGTTTAGAAAACATATGCGTATTGAGATAGCGTTCTCTGCCAGCTACGTAATCACACAACTTGCATTTCAATCCTTTTCCCAAACCATGTTTAGTGAACAGATGAACTTTAAGACGATTTTTCATGGCAGCGGCATAGTCACACAACTTGCATTTGAATCCTCTCCCCAAACCATGTTTAGAAAACACGTGACTATTGAGATTGCTTTTTCTATTTGCAACATAGTTGCATAAATTGCACTTTAATACAGCCTGAAAATCTTGTTTGGCAATTTGGTGGGCATTAAAAGGAACATCTGTATGTAATAAATCAGTGGATGAAGGAACCTTGGGTAATTTCTCTGCTAATCTTGCATGGTCATTGTTGGCCAAGTTGGATGACTTGAGCTCAGACACAGGTTGATTGGAAAGAACTTCCTGGACTAAAGCTGCTCCATTGGGCACTGGAGAAACATTTTCCTCAGAGGCAGACATCTTTTCTTCCTTGTTTTCAGGCAAAACTGGCATCACATCCTGACCAATGGTGGCCGGGGCATCGCACGGCATGGCATCCTGAAGATGGGAAGCAAAACGAGATTCTTTCAGTTTAGTTTATTACAATCTTTGTTGTCTTCCACAAACTTTTCTTGGGAAAAAACTTTAATTGTTAAATTATTTATCAATTGTATTAGAATAATTTCAACGAAAGGGAAATCATCTAGGCAATTGAAATGTGAATGATAGCTCATTCACATTACTCAGTACTCATTACTCAGTATAAAACTTGTATCAGAATACATCTACCAAAAAATTTTCCAAGTCATGTACTAGACAAAATTTCAATACTAGTGTGCATTCATGTTCATTTTAGATCAGAATGTGACTACTTTCACATCTCACAGGGATATATACCCTGTAAGAACAAGTAACACAAGAAATGAACAACATTGCTACATGCATTGCTTGGTGGGAGCATATTGCCGCAGAAGTTCATGTTCATTTCAAACCTTCAATAGAATATTTGGGACAACCTTGGATTCAACAGGCAGATATTTTATCTTGGAATGAATTTTGGCTAGGAGATCACAAAAATTGAGGATCCTAAGTGAAGAACATTTTTCAACTGTAATAAACATAAGAGCTGATGAAAGTTGAGGTGCAAGTTTTTGCAGCAAAGCCACTGCAGCCACATGATCAGTTAGCAGCAACATTTCAATTCCTTAACAATTTATTTGAACTCAATCTTGTTAAAAATATCACCTCATATTCTTCACTGCAAAGTGGTTCATCCTTCACAGTTATGTCCTCTCCCTCATCTACAGGCTCCTCTTTGATGTAAACTGTCATGTCAGGGGGTGGAGACGAGCTGGGGGTGCTGCCCTCTATTACTGTATGTAATACATACAGGAATTATTACCTATTAGCATGATGATACTGGCAGGAAATTATATAAACATTATAATAGAGTAAAACTATCTTTAATGGATTTAGGTTAACAATTGTATACAATTTAATATAATCAGAAATGCTGATAAGTATAACAATATCCCAATTGACAAATAAAATAGACTAGTTGTGAAGCATACCTTCAGGCTCAGTTTGCACACGTCAGTTGCTGCTTGAATGAGGCTCTGCTCAGGGGCACAAGCCACTCCTGACTGCAGCATCTGAGAGCTGGTGCAGAACAACTCTGCACTCTTATATACTGTATGCCAAGAGATTAATGAGATGGATTCTTCAGAAATACTTGCAGTAATTATATATCTTTCAATAACCAAGCAAGACAAGTTAATCTGAGAGCAATTGAATCAAAAAAAGGAGCAACAGATTGTTTAACTGACTAAATCAATTAAACTACAAGGTTTGGTTGCAACAACTTTTAGAGAAAGTGACTTTTAGTTCCTTGAATGTACATAGCAATTCTGGGTTGTTGTTGTTGTTGTGGTTCCCCGGTCTCAATTTTACAAGAGACCCCCCTCGCGCAAGTACGACACCACCGACAGGGGGTCGCTCCAGAGCTGTAGGGTCGAGGTTATGTGGTGGTGTTGTCTGAGGTCCTGCCAGAGCGGACATTCCAGGAGAATGTGAGTGATTGTGTGGGGAGCTCTCTGGCAGGATGGGCAGGTGTCTGTGTCTGCTTGGCCTATTCTGTTCGCGTATGTTTGTAATGAGAGGTGGTGGCCGCAGCGAAGCCTGGCTAGGTGTACTCTCTCCAGTCTAGAGAGCTGTGTTTCTGTGCTGCTTATGTCAGGTGGTGGGTGTCCAAGGACTTTGTTGTTGCCGGCCAGCTCCAGCGTTCTAAGTGTCATAATTGTGGGTAAGTGTTTTTTTTGTGCTGGTGTTGCCTTGGGGTGGGGGTATTGTGTCTAGTATATTGGTGTAGTATCTGTGTGGGGTTTGCACTATTTGTCTGTGTGTAGGTGGGTGGTTGCGTAGGTAGTGGCATGGGGTGTTGTGTGTTGTTTATGGCTGCGGCTATGAATTGTGTTCCTCTCATGTCGAGGTGTGCTTTTATGGGAAGTATTTTTGTTTCTGCATGAAGGTGTTCTATGGGGGTGCTTTGTGTGCAGCCTGTGACTATCCTGAGTGCTTTGTTTTGTAGTGTTTGGAGTTTCTGTATGTTTGTGTTGGGTTTATTCTGGGTTTGATGATGGATGATAAACAAAAGATGACTGAAAATTTATAGGTTTGTGAATACCTTTCCTTGGGTGGCATGGTAGCAAATTTTTACTTCAACAGCAAATTTGTAGCTTCATTTGAAAATGCAATGTTGAAGAACAACAATACTATAATCAACACATTTACTCCGATTGCTCATTTGTCTAACCTTCCAATCAGATGGTGACAAACTCATTTTTTTCATTACAATAGAATATGCAAATTTGCAATCGGTAGTGATTTTTTATTAACCATGTTATTTCTAGTGCACCATAAAATATAGAGAATGAAGCTATTTTGTAAGATATTTGATTAAATTTATTCAAAGTAAAATCTTGAAATATTTGAAATAAGACATAAATGTCATTACACTGCCCAGTGGTTACAGTGCAGAGTAACAGGATTGGAGCAGAGAGTTGGGGGTTTGATCCCAGCTCTGTGCACTTGTTTCTGTTCAGAATCAGCGAGGAGGCCGGGCGTTTAAGCAAAGCAAAATTGCGAATTGGAGCAGCAAGTTGTTGCGTGTTCAAGAACGCATCATGCTGTGAATGTTCAGCTATGTTAAGAATTGGCAATGGCCTAATAAACACTGAAACCGCTATTATTATTATTATTATTATTATTGTTATTATTATTATTATTATGTGCCAGTATGTCCTGACAAATTCCAAGACTTATGATAATACTTTCAAATTCACTCACTTACACTGTATTTATTACTTAATGCTTTAGGCACACATCAAATAGAAGCATATGAGACAATTCAAGGGGGCTGAATAATTTTTAAATGCAGCTATTCAATTTTTTATCAGGTTGCTTAACACATTGACTCTGATTGCTTCATCTTGTACTGTTATTTCAGTTTTAGTACCATTTTAAAATAGGGTTGCCAGACATTCTTTTGTATTTTTTTGCAGATAAATGCCCCAATTCAGTTTTTTCAATTGCATTGTCCAGGAAAAATTTATGATAGGGGTACTTCCTAATTAAATTTGAAAAACTGGAACAAAAGAAAATGAAATGGAATATATAGGTACACCCGAACCTACAAATATACTAGTATATATTGAGTTAGAGGCCTTTTTTGTCTGTGGATTGGGCCGTTTTTAGGCCATCAGGCAACCCTGAATTATGCACAACTATGTCCTGGAGAAATACATTTTGTGGTACAACTTCAGAGTTAACATGTTAATGACCAGAGAATGGCTGGCAGAAATTTAAATTTTCAGTCAATAAGATTTTGTCATGTTGGTGGATCAAAAGGCGGGTCTCATAGTAATTTTACTTCTTAATAACATTTTTAATCCAACAACAATCCTTTTCAAGTTATGAAAAGCTTTGGATATATAACATCAAATGGGTAATATGGGACAAATGGGGTAAATCGGGACAGTCCTTGCCATGGCTTAAAAATGTTATATATAGCATTAAGGGGAGCGTCTGGGGCAAATTTTATCTCAGTTATTTACAGACGGATCAATTCGAAATTTGGTACACGTATGTAAAACGGAATTCTAAGACTTTTTTGTGTGAATTTTTTGAAAAAATGAAAGATAACATGAAATTCTTAGAAAATGGCCAAAAAGGGGGTACTTTAGAAATCCTATCTCCTCCTAGGATTTTCAAGCTACAACATCGAAACACGTATCATTTGATGCGTAAAGACCATATCTAAAAACTGTGTATGCGTTTTTTTGAAAATCTCATTTCTGCAGGTGTGGGGGCATTTTTGGTAAATGTGGGGGCATTTTTGGTAAATTTTCGGAAATTTTTCTACGTTACCCTCCTGACACCCTCTTTTTTTGCAGAATAAAATCCAAACTATAACGAAATTAGAAAAATTCATAAACAATTTTGTAGATCTTTTCTTTGCAAATCGAATGGTATATGTCTCATTGTCGTAGCTTCAAAAGTGTAGGAGGAGATAGGTTTCCAGTGATAATAAGTGTGAATGTTCAGTAGAGCCCGACAAAGTCCCGGGCGCCTCAAAATCAGCATTCAAGACTGCAAGGAATGCGACTAGACGATACTGGAGCTCAATATCTGTCAAGGCTGGTGAGAGCGATGGTGCGCAAACCACCCCGTACGACTGCCGCAAGGTTACTGGAGCTGAGTGTCTGTAGACTAGCTATTTATAGTGCAATACGGGAATTATTCCCAATGTTAAATGTGAAAGAACTGCCTCACCCCTTCCCTTTCGGGATCTGTCGTGAACGCATAAATCAACGTACAGAGATGGTTTTGGTACCTTTGGATAGGTCAGAGTGTCAGCTTTAAGATGAGACTAAAAACCGGAAAAGTGAAAATTGTCGATTTTGGACCCCGACACTCTCCTTAAACAAATTGAAATATTGCAAAACTAAAAAGAGTGTCATAAATTTCAACATTTTGTTCATCTATGGAGCATAAAGGAAGCTAATAAATCATACATTTACCGGCTCTGATAAATCACTAAAAATGTTGAAAAGTGTTGTTTCAAAAAGGTACATCTGCTAAGGTGGGTAGTAAAAAAAATATTTGTCATATCAAAAAATTTTGCTTGAAAAAAGTTGCAGCCATTTGTTGGCTTTGCAATTTCATTGACAGAATTTTTGTACATCAATCCAAAACAAAATGGATGGGCACCTGTTTTTGTTACCTTCTGTTTAGGGCACCCCTAAAAATGCATTTACAGTAGAACCTTGTTTAACAAAGGCTCCATTTATCAAAAAAAAAATCAAACAACAAAGAATTTTGACTATATTTACCTCAGTCAGCAAAAAAATTCACTTAACCAAAAATTAATGCATCATTGGTCATCACAAAATTGTGCCTAGAATGACATAGATAGAATTGTACACTGGCAACATAGAATGGAAAATAATTAACCTAAACTATTATATATTTCTCCAGAATATATGATAGTTGTCACCAAAATATACTTCCTTTCTGTTTCAGGTATGATTTGTAAGATCATTTTTGTTACAGTGAAGTCACTTGACTCAATTAAAATGGTGCAAAATTACAAGCCCAGTACTGTCAAGATTACAGATACAGAAGAAATGCTATACACCTGCTGATATGAAGCTTGCAGTGGAAAAGGTCATTGTCAATGCTATCAATAAAAAAAACATTACAAATTACAGAAAATGTGATTTATTCTAAATCTACATCATCTACATAGGAAGAGGGAGACTTTGGAGTTTGGAGTACTTTTAGTATGGTCAAATGGGGTAGGTAATAAGTGACTGGCGGGGTAAATCGAGACAGGTGTCCCACATTTCATAGAAGTGTTGTTGCAGCTAAACTAATCAAAATATTTCAAAACTAAAAAAAGTTGCATAAAGTTAATCATTTTTACTATCTATGTAGCATAAAGCAAATTAAGAAATCATACATTTACTACCTCTGAAAAATCCCTGAAAAAAGTGTGAAGAGTGAGATTTTGGAAAAGTACCTCTGCTAAGTTCTGTAGCAAAAAAATATTTGCCCTATTTAAAAAAGTTTTACTTCTTAAAAATTGCACACAGGTATTGGCTTAAAAATGTGACTAATGGAATGTGTATATCTCATTCCAAAAAAATGCGGCCATTTTTGCACAAGAGGGTAATAAGGGACACCCCCTGGGGTGGTAATAAGGGACACCCCTAAAATGCATTTACGGTAGAACCTCAGCTAGCAAAGGCTACAGTTAACCAAAAAATCAATTAACAACAAAAAAACTTTGATTAAATTTACTTAGCTCAGCAAAAAAATTTTATTTTTCAAAAAATTAATGCATCATTGGTCATCACAAAACAAAACTCTACATATCTTCAAACGAAAACCATGTCTCAATAATGCATGTAGCTCATATAATCTGGAAATAGTAAATCGCTAGGATTTTATATTCTTGTCGTACCCCTAGGACTAAGTTGAGGTCTTGTTTAGGTTTTATGTCTGTCTTTGAATTTTGACTTTTAAAGTGATTTTATTCATTTTTAGTTTAGTCGAACTGATGATGGAGCTGGACTCCGAAACGTTTTCAATATCGATATGGTGAATTTTCTTGGCGTTTTCTTTGCTTTTAAATTCCTTGTGAACTTGCGATATAAGCAGACTAATGATATAAGTAATCACAAAACTGTGCATAGAATGTCATA